AAATACGCCCACATCATGCTGGCCATCAATCGGCCTACACACACCGCACAACAACACGGCTTCCCTCCTCCCCCTGCTCGCACCAGGCTCTCTGTCCTCCACCCCCACGGTAGTAAAGGGAACAAGATACCAAAAACGCCGTCCGGTGTTTTTTTCTCTCGCCATCAGCCACGCCGATTGCGGGCACCACGCCACATGAAACTGTCTCTTCTCACCAAGCGCTGGCGCGACTCCATTTTTGCTCATTTGCCCGCCTCGCACATACCAGACGAGAGGACATTGCCATCGAATCCGTTCCAGATTCAACAAAAAACGCAAAAGTCAAACGACCGATCGCAACGTTCAGCACCAAGAACAAAAACAGCGGCCTCCACCTGCCGCCACATGGTTTGCACTGCTGTAGCTGCCGCTATACTTTTTACGGCAAAAAAGCACGCAACTGCAGAGCTTCATTTGACTGCTGGTGAGTGCGAAAATACAAAAAAAAAACGCTGAAAATTCCTTTGTCTCGATGGTAATATCCAAAAGCAACCATCCCTGTTGCTTCCCTCGGCACAAAGAACGCAGATGTGGACGCGCGGCTGGCACAGCGAAGAGCCAGCCGGGTCGGCGCGACATCGAAAGAAAAAAAACACACACACACGATTGTACGACACTTGGAGGTACTCGCTCGCTTCCTTGCGGGGCCCCCAAGCGTGCTCAGAGGCTCTTGGAGAGCATGCACATCTCCGACTGAGTCGTGATCACCTCTCGCTTCACCGTTTCTGCTCGCGCGGCCACCATGCGGGCTCGCGGCGCGTCAATCTGGGCCATGATTGCACAACCCACGGAATGAGGAACAGGTAGGTGCACGAGGGAACGACGGGCGACGCACGTACGAGAGTTAAAAGAACGGACCCAGGCTGGACACGATCATCCCTGCTTTAAAGGCGCTCGGGCTGGGTTGCAAGCCAACTCCTCGCGTGGATTTAATGCCAGAACCAAGGCGCCCCGTGCAATCAAATATCTAGGGGGGGTGGGGCTTAACACGAGGCTTCCCCGCGGTAAGACGCTTACAAAAAAAAAAAAAAGCGTCTACAATGTATGAAGCGGGAGCGATTGCCGTACCTGGAGGACGCGGTTGTAACGGCGCCGGAAGTCTTCCTTTTCCGTCAGAGAGCGGAGGGCGAAGTAGTACTTGGCGTAGAGGCTGGAAGAGATGGACATGTCCCACTTCATGGCTCCCAGGAAGAGGAGTTCCAGCCTGTTGATGTTCTTGAGCGAGTACTCGGGGTATACCGTGGAAAACTCCACGTTCCAGCTGCTCAGATCCTGCCACACCTGGATTGAACGCGTTGCGGAAGGGAGGGGGGTCGACACGTTTAGATTGCTGCTGCGGGGTACGAGACGGAGCCCAGTACCCTCCACCGCGACAAAATCAGGCATTGGTTAGGAATTGAACACGGCCCAAAACATGCACATTCGCACACAAGGCTGACTGGAACACCAAACTTTTCAAAAGCATAAACACAGCGACCAAAAAAACAAAACAAGACTTGAAAACGACTGCTGTGGGTATATCTCGAACGGTTTATATCTAAAACAAGAAAAACTGGCCTCAAGCCTCTTAGGTTATGTTAGCCTGTGCCCACGGGAATCCACCGCGTCAAGTGGGTTGATCAGCACGGACAGAGAAAGGTACCGGGCAGAGAGATCGGAACGGTTCTTACCGATAAGACAATAAGCACACAAGGACTCGTTGATGGCCACGCATGGCACGCAGCAGTCGTACAGTACCCACCTTCGAGGCGAGCAGGAGCCCGCACAGCAGAACGGGCTTCCAGGTGCCGGGAAGCAGCGGGACGCGCGCCGTCTCCATTAGGCGCTCCACGTAGATGAGGCAGACGAGCGAGCACTCGCTGCTGAGCTGCGCCTTGTTGAACAGGGTCTTGATGAACTCGTAGATCTCGTCCACCGTAGGCGCCTTTGGCGGAGATCGCACCTCTCGCAGGGTGAACATCACCCCGGGCAGGGCCATCGTCGGCGCGTGCATGAAGTTGTACCTGAGGGTTCAAGGGGCAAGGAACACCCTGTTATGTCTGGCTCACCGTCCGTGATGGAGTGATACACCAACGGAAAACAGCTAGGTATAGTAATTGAAAGTTTGTTTTCGCTTCCCGTCGAATCAAGCATCACGCGTGGCAAATTCGACACCAAGGGCCACACGAACGAGAGACACAGCAGCTTCTTGTACTTGACACGCTTCTTCCGTCCCTGCTAAGCCCACCCCCCTCACACACTTCCCCACGTCTTTGACAAATGCAGGGCGAATCTAAACATGTAACAGGTCGAAAAACAAGACACTTTATCCCCACGGTTGAGAAAACCAATTGCTCATCGCACAGAGGCTTTTGCCGGGTTTGCAGGGTTGATTGAGTCCACCCAAATCGGAACAACATCAGTGATATCCGCCTGACCGCCCATGCACGTGGACCACCCATTCCGAAGCGATGAACTAACAAGATCGTTTGACGCACGCTCTGGCCTATCTGAAACAGACATGAAAAAATAACATAACAGTGGTAGCGAAACAAGCTGAAGTCGCAAGTCCTGTCCAACCAAAAGGGACGAAGTCACTCAAGTCTTGTCCAATCAAAACAAACGAGATCGGAGCTGCCCGCTACACCCTACATGCACGGCCTTTACCTGAGAGTCGGGGATACGAACTGCTGCTCGTCGAACGCCTCCGCCATCTTCGCGTTGAACCCGTGCACCTCCGCGGACGGCGGCTCCCCCCCCCCCCCAGCCCAGCGGGCTCCGTCCCTGCCTCCCTCCCCCCACAAGGCGCTCTCGTTTCTCCTCAGGGCGGCCAAGGACGGTGCCGACCGACGCCAGGACTGCAAGGACGCGAGCAGCCGGGCGTGCACGTTTGTGGAGGGAGCGCGGACGGGGCGAGGCGTTACATGAGAGGGGGCCGTCGGCCTGAGTGGAATGCTGAAACATCATCTGTTGGGGAGGAGGAACTGCTGCTGTGTGCGGCGTAACTGTTCGTGGGAGAGAGGTCATCGAAGGGAGTGTTGAAACATGATTGGTTGTGTTGGAGGCACTGCTGCGGTGGTAACTGCGAGGCGTCCGGTTGCAGAATAGCGAAAAATACATGCGGAGTTGACTGTTGTTTTCGTTCGCACAGCCACCGCTGCTGTTTCGGACGTGATAGAAAACACAAAAAAATGCAACGGCACCGGTTCCACCGAACGAGTCGAAAATCCCCCCGAACAGACCGGACGGGCACAACCACGCGGGTCATCTCAGCGCTTTTCTCTACCTTCATGTTGTCCTGGCGAGAGCCTTCCGGCTCCGTCTCCGCCGCGGCTCTCTCCCTCTCCTCCGCCATCTTTCGCTTCCACTGGCACGTCTTGATGTGCTGGTATACGACCACCGCCACTGGGGGGTACGGGCACAGATGCATGGGGGGGGCGGGGGGGGAGGGGGGGTAGATGAGTCTTGTGCGTGGAGGAGGGGAGGGGAGGTGGACATTTCGAGAAGAGTTGTGAGCAGGGACCACCCGTATGTGTATGAGCATGTTAGTGTGGAGCAAAAGTTTCGCGATTCCTTCCTCCGGAGGATAATTCGATAATTCGGTCGTTGTTTCAGAACCTGCATCTCCCAAGCTTAGCTCAGAAAACAACTGACTTGCCGCCGCCAACCCTACACCTACCCGTGCTACCACTAGGGTGGCCCTGGAATAAATCTGGAATAAATCCTCCGACTGCTTTATCCAACACATGTAGTTGTCAATAACCTACTGCTTGTGCCGCCAACCACACCAGAACGACTGCCGGTAACACTTCCACTACCTCCATTTCAACGGGCGACCCTGCGATCTTCCCGCTCTCTTTCGAAGAGCTAGCTCACCTCTCCGCAACGCGTCGTGGTAGTTAGGCCGGGCGACCGAGCTCGGCGGCGCCACCGCACTGAACACCCTTCTGTCCGGCGCCTTGTACTTCATTTCCTGGAAAGACTCGGTCGACATGTTCGACGTCACCGTCGCGTAGCACGGCACGAACCTCTCCTCCTGCGGCGTGGTGGTAGTGGTGGTGGTGGAGGTGGGGGGGGGGGGTTGGTACCCTAATAATTTCGGGCAAACGACCGGCTTTCGGAGACAGTATTCCAACTGGAGTAGTACGTCCGGTCGCGGTATTCAACCACCGCCGTATCCATGGTCTTGAAAGCGCTCTCTTGTGTACATTCGTACGGAAGCCTGTGCGATCGAGGTTCGTAGTATCGGAGGGAGGGTCGACGTATGTCCTGCCCAACACCAAAAATTAAACGTTACAAGTGATCCCTTCTGGAGCGTGCGCATGAGAGAATACCAGTGAAATCAAGGGGTGACGGCAACAGATGAAATACAAGCAGGCAGCAAGACAACCACACGGCTGAAGCGTTAAGTTTCTCAAGCTCGACAGCTCACGAGATTGATGTGTTTTTGACTCCAAGCCCAGCGAATCTCAAAGAACCAAAATAGAAAGTACAAATCTATGTACAACAGCATAGTAACTGCCTACGACAGCAGTCATATAAGGACGCAGTGGAGTTCCGAACATGTCTAAAACAAAAAACAGGAAACGCCTCCATGTTTGAGATTTTGAACCTGCTGTGCGGTCGGATTTTCGAAACCTTCAACCTTGAAGCACCTTTGCTCTTTGGGGAGACCTAACATACACACATTCATTACACTGGCGTTCAAATCGACTACATGGCGACGAGTAGGATATGTGAGGGAAGAGCTGCCCTGAAGTTCGCGGCCCCACACACTCACGTAGGCGCTGCGTCGCGAAAACTATGCTGTGTGCTTGAGGCGCGTCGGGAAAGCTGCCGCCAACCCTAACTTTACATGCTCTGAACTCCAATGTAGCATGGTACCTCTTGTCTTGGTAACAACTGGCCGCGTTCGGTTCGTGCCGCCCCTCCCCCTCTCTCATGAGAGGATGAGAGGTTGAGCCTTGGTGTGTGCTCTACGTAACACACACCACACACGCACGGGAGAACATGAATGCATGAGCCAGTACCGCGAAATGTGGAGGCAACCGTCTCCCACTTAAATGTTGAGCTAGCCGTGTTTGCGTGCGAGGTCTTGGAAAGCAACGTGCGAACCATAGACAAGGGCATACATACACATGGGTTGCCCATGCAAAACCTGCAAATCCTTACAACAGAGGAAATATCTTCATAGATTGAAAGATTCGAGGTGAAGCCGATGGGTGCTGTTTCAAAAACGACAGTGAAACGCACGTGACGTCACTTGCAGTATCAATGGTGATTTCAGGGAGAAATTGGCCATCGATATGTCCAGGAGCGCGAACGCGTTTGGACGAAAAAGACAGAGACAAAGACGGTTTCTTCCGCGCCAGCGCTGAGCTGTACCACGAAACACGTTTTTTAATTCCCTCGGAATTCCTCTTCCTCTTCTTACGCTCCGATACATTCTTCGGTACGGCAACAATCCTGTCGGCCCTTGTTTTATTGGCACTTTTACGAAAACGCGATGCCTCAAGGGACGCTCTATCAACCACGTCTAAATCGGCTGCGATAATTGAACGCTCTAACCTTCTATGTGATTGTTCTACGACAGGGGACGCATGTGCCTTATTTACAAGTCGTTTGGTACTCTTCGAACACGAACTATCACTCCGAGCACTAGACGATATGGACGAACGCGCAAGTAACGCAAAACGATCAAAAGATCTTTTCACGCCCTTACTGCTAATTGCTACGGCAACAGCAGATTCCTTCCCAAGTATTGTGGGCACAACACCTGGGCACCCCTATTCGGAGTCCGACGAATCGTCCTTCTTCTTCGGACGACGGTTTTTCTTGGACCGCTTGGACGCAGAGCGACCTTGACGATCCTCTTCCTCCGCAAGCCGCACCCAGCAACGCTCGATGGGGTGGGTCTTGTGGGACCGGCAGGT